CTATGCGTTCATAGTTTCCATTGAAGAAGACCATGCTTAAGGCTGTCATTTCTTAAAACACCACACTCCTCCCTGCTTGCTTTATATAAGCCATTTATTGTATGTAGATGATGGTTTCCTAGTAGTGTTTAAACTAGTATATCTTTATATGAGTTGAAACTTGACTAGTATGTCTTCATATGGAACAGCATGAATACCCATTTCATTTTCCAGCTGCTTGAAGTGTGAGATGATAAGAGACTAGTTGCAAAATCAACATGTGTACACGTGGCTTGTGTCACTTTTCCAGATGGAGATTTTTTTTTATTATGATGTGTACTTTTTCCTCAGACATCTGGTCAGCTTTTGCCACTGATCTTTATTTGTGGATTTTTACCTGTTATAAGATGCTGCAGTTTGCTTATCATGCTCAGAATACAACATGTTACAGGTCTGTTGTTTGATTATTATGGTTCCCAAAGTTGATACATATTTCTTTGTTTTCAAATGCCATTAAGTAAAAGGAACATCCCAACTTGTAAATTATAAATCCTTATTGGAAAGTGCTGTTACACACCATTCCAAAAATTGATAAATTTTCAGTAGTATCACACTACCAACAAAATACCAAACCATGTTTAAATGTAGTTCTGATGAATGCCATTTCACTGTGACTTTATATCAACTGTGGATGTTACATGACTTACTGATGTGCATATTCGAAATTGCTTTACTATAACAAACTCTCCTATTTGTAGTCAGTATCATCAAGCTATTTGATGATAAAGTCAAACATAAAATTCGTGTACACAAGAAATAAGTTCTCTCACTTATTTATCTCTTACTTATTTTAATTATTATATTGAAAATCACCTGGCATGGGCTTGTGCTTAGGGTGCTTCTGTATTTCTGTAAAAGAAAAATGATTTCTAAAGATATTTTAAATTTAATTTGTCTATATAGTTGCATTACTTACAGCAGTATTCTTGATAAAGAAACTAAAAAGTTGTTTTAACTATGGAGATTGGAAAATTTTATTTGTGCTAATATGGACAGTTAAAGTTGAAAGAAATAAAATATGGAAGTTACACAACTCATTAGATAAACCAAGTAACTCCAGATAAAGTTCTAGAGATGAAAGTAAGTTCATATTTTCTTGTTTTCTATCATCTTATGAAACTACATTTTGATAAGAAACTATTCTTATGCTTATGAGAATGACATTTTTAATATATATTCTTTATATTTATTATTAATAAAAAGGATCTCTAAGAGGTGCTTTTCATTTCTGTTATCCAATAAAATCCAGTCAGTAATAATTTAAAGTAAAATTCAAAGGAGAGAACAACTAGTTTTTAATTCAGATTTCATGTAAACAAACATATTTAGTTTGATTGTTTTACGTGACTTAAGATTGATACATTAACAGCCATGGCAAATTTTTGTTTCAGCACTTATCATATAGGAAACTATGAATGTAAACATTGTCACAGTGAATGCATAGGAGGCTGCAATGGTTCAGTAAGTTTTGGTTTTGATATAAGAAATATTATACTTAAGATATAATAAACACATAATTAATAATGTGAAGAAGATATGAATATTTTGATTGATAGATGTAGCTACATCTATAAGTTTTTGGTCTTTAATGATTTTATGTAGTATAAGAAAGTTTTGAATTATTAAAATTAATGGTAATACTTCTAATGCATGCTTTTGGACAAAACTTTAATTGAAGTTGAAGGATCCTATAAAAACATTAGTGAAATTCAAATAGAAATAAAAAGAGTGAACTTACAACTTGAATGTATATCATACATCTATGTTTCTTATATTTAATGGTGTCATTTCAGAAAAAAACATTCTCTGTACTGTATTTCTTTTATTCATTTGTGAAAAAAACCTCCAATTATCTTATATGTAATATTGTTATATCTTATAAATCCAGGGGAGGGGGGAATTGCCTCCTTGCTCCATATAACCACATTTGTAGTATGTACTTTCTTTACTCTAAATGGTTGTGAAAGTGTTAAACAGACTTGATGAGCCTTGTTAAGTATTACAAAACATTTCAATGATTTTAATGTCTCAAGGTTAACTGTGAGAATTAAATTTTGTTTATTATTCATTTGCTTTATATACAATTTATATTATAATTATAAAAAATATTAAAAATAAAGTTAGTTGAAAACTTAGAGTTCTGACACATTTACGGCAGTATTTAAAATTTGTTACTTGTAAATATCATAGGGTATTTCTAGCAATACTTTTAAAATCCCTGAAACATAAATGATAGATAATACTAGTGTAACTAAACAGTAAGGTTACAAACCAGTATGGGAAAATTACCTTTATCCACTACAACAAATGCTGTGAAAACTTTTCTGTTAGGCACCTGATTCATCTTCATTGCTGAACTTCTCACTGTTTTATAGTTTGAAAGTAGATAAGTGAGTTTCGGAGTAATACAGTAACTGTTACAAATGTAACCTAAAGCTATAATAATTAAGTTTCCTGTTTTTCACCTTGTTCTCTGACTTACCATGCTATGTGCAAAAATATATTATTAATTCAAATATTTCATTAGTATATGTGAAAAACTTATTTCAAAGCTTCACAAAATGTTAAAAAATATATTGTTAGTATAATGAAGGATAAAGAAATAACATAAGGTTTTTTTAACATACGTACCACATCTCTTTAAATCAAATGTTGATTATTGATTGTCCACTGAAAAAACTGTTTGTGATTTTAAAGTGGATTCCAGCATACCTTGAATATAAATTCTGAAAGCTTTTTTATTTTTATTTACTGTGAAAATTTTTATCTGAGAAAAGAAAGAAAATATTTTCTTCCTTAAGCTAAGAAAATTTTTTTATCATTACTTACCAGTATTTTTCTAATTACATTCATGTTTTTTTACATTAGGGCAATGGTAATTGTACTCAGTGTCGAAATGTTAAAGATGGACCTTATTGCGTTGCCAGCTGTCCTGTCACTAAATACAGTGATTATGGAATATGTAAAGTTTGTCACCAGCATTGTGTAAAAGGGTGAGCTAACTTTCCATTTAAATCACAAATTTGTACATTTTACCCATTAAGAAATCTGTAATCTGCATAAAATATTCAAGATGTTTCAATCATTATAGTATGTCTATCTGTATGTAACCAAATTCAAACCTCACTCTAAGGTGTAAAGGGTATTGTGGAAGTTCTGTAAAATGTCTTCTTTTGTTTTTTCTGGCAAAAGATCTGTTCATGAAATATTTGAAATAATCTTATTATTAGAGAAGTAAATATGTTACAAATGGCCATATTCTTTGAATTTGACAATAAAACTGCAACAGACTTTTTAACACCTAACTCTTAAATGGCATAGTATAGGATTTCAGTCAAAAAGTGCATAAGTGGCATTACAGCAAAAGCTTAACTTGAGATAGTGACCCATTGTTTTGGCCAAATAAACTAGGTTATGATATTGAAAGGTCTAAGAGAATGGAATGTCCTGTCAATCCTTTTTGATACTGAGTTATATAAGCATGATTTGAAAACTATTAAAGCATGAGCTTTCTTAAAGCTACAAGTTTGTGAAAGATTTACATGATGACTCTTACAAATAGCATTTCATGTAAGAGTTAAAATGATCTAATACAGCTGGTTATGGGGAGAGGGGGATACAGAAAATCACACAATGCTGATAGGAATTTTTGTTTAAAGAAAATTAATCAAAACTGAAATGTTTAATCCCAACATTTTGATAACTGATGAAATGTTCATTTAAGAACCCTTCCAGATATCTAAAAATACTTTCACTTTTATCTTAAAGAATATGATATGTAAAGAATATAAATTAAAAGTGTAGAAAATCAGAGTGAAAGAGGGTTAAGAGTATCACATTTGAATTGTATGTAACTGTCATATGACTGTCTCTTTGTATCTGAAGTTTTTGCGCGAAGTAATATTATAGTAATATTAATGTATAGATATATATTATAATATATAGGTTTGAATAAATGACATTTCATAATTTGTTTATTTATGTTTGCCAAACTTTGTAGCCTGGTATGCTTTATATAAGTCTAAAAAGTTGTCTTGCATCCCATGTCCCATAAACCAATTCATAGATTGCCAGATATACTATATACAGAAGTGTACATTTCACGTTCCACAAACCAAACCATAGATTGCCTGATATACTATATACAGAAGTGTACATTCCACGTTCCACAAACCAAACCATAGATTGCCTGATATACTATATACAGAAGTGTACATTCCACGTTCCACAAACCAAACCATAGATTGCCTGATATACTATATACAGAAGTGTACATTCCACGTTCCACAAACCAAACCATAGATTGCCTGATATACTATATACAGAAGTGTACATTCCATATTCCACAAACCAAACCATAGATTGCCTGACATACTATATATAGAAGTGTACATTCCACATTCCACAAACCAAACCATAGATTGCCTGATATACTATATACAGAAGTGTACATTTCACGTTCCACAAATCAAACCATAGATTGCCTGATATACTATATACAGAAGTGTACATTCCACATTCCACAAACCAAACCATAGATTGCCTGATATACTATATACAGAAGTGTACATTCCACGTTCCACAAATCAAACCATAGATTGCCTGATATGCTATACATAAGTCTACATTTCACGTTCCACAAACCAAACCATAGATTGCCTGATATACTATATACAGAAGTGTACATTCAGTGTTTCACAAACCAAACCATAGAATGCCTGATATGCTATACATAAGTCTACATTTCACATTCCACAAACCAAACCATAGAATGCCTGATATGCTATACATAAGTCTATATTCCATGTTCCATAATCCAAACCATAAATTGTCTGATATATTATACATATGAGTCTACGAAGATGTTTTGCATTCTGTGTCCCACAAACCAAATGATAAGTGGCTTGACACATTATAACTCACAAACAAGGGCACAAGCTGTTTGTTATATTTTATATTCAATTAACTTTATACCTTCAAATTACTTCACATGGGTTAATGTGAAAATAAAAAAAAACTTTAAATATAATCTTGCAGGTAGTGCTCTTGTTAATGTGAAATAAATTAATGTGTATATTGAACTCGGTAGATATAGAGCATCATGTTATATCTTTCTGTACTCTGGTAACTAAACAGTAATCTCGAGAGCTTAACATTAAAATTCAGGATTCAATCCTCATGGTGTGCACTGTGCAGATAGCCCATTGTGCAGCTTTGAACTTAAAGTAAACAAACAATAAATCCCTCTGTTTTATTATAGAGTGTATTATTGTTTATATCTACTGTACATAAAAACTTGTAGATATACTCTGCTTGAACTCAGTAACTGTATAGAAGGGATGAAGTATTTTTACCTTTAACAGACTTAACAAAAACCCTGTATTGCTTTTACATTAAACCTTTTTTCTGAACTTTGGTTCTTCCTTTTACTTCTTTCAGTTGCACTGGTCCAAGCAACACTGTTGGTCCTGGAGGGTGCAACTCTTGTGATAAGGCCATTGAAACTAAGAACAAGAGTGTGGTAAGTACTTACTCTTTCTCGTATTAGGTGGAGTGTGGCAAAGCTATGGATTTAATCACTATGAAAAGATAAAAAGTAGGTAAAATGTATGAAATGTTTTTAACAGGAATCTTGTAGACATTATTATAATTAACTGGTGTTATTATGATTACAAATTATAAGTAATCAAATAATCAGAATGAAATATAATTGGATCAAAAAACAACACAGGAGAACATAAGAAATAAAAGTTATGGTTTGGCAATATGTTGATAAATCTAAATAAACTTTGTATATCTTGAAGATGTGCATTAGCACTTGAAACACTGTCTCCAAACAAACTCAACTAACTGATGTGAATAAAAAATATGCATGCATGATAAAACCTGAAAAAAGATTTATTAAGTTACTGTAGAACTTGTTTATTCTTAAGGTCCAAAGTATCTTACAAATGAGATTATATTTTAACAGTGTAATTATTGTTTAACTTTTACGACCTTTTTTTCTTGTTTACAGATGTGCTTGGCTGCTGATGAGCCTTGTCCAGAAGGATATTACACAGAATACATAGGACCTTCGGATAAATCCTTGAATGATTTGGTTGGAAAGCCTGTAAGTTGACTCATTTATCTACTTTTTTGTTGGTGTAAACATTAATAAAAACTTATTCGTTGTTATGAAGTATTAAAGCAGCTTTATAGTTGTAAATTAAAAAAAAACATTTCTTGTCCAACTTGACCTCAACTTTTATTTCTCTAGGAAAACTGTAATGAAAAAAAAAAGAAGAAATGGATTCTCAGTTTTAAAAGCCACTTTAGACTTAGCTCAGGATTCTTGCCAATTTCACACCTTAATAAATGTAAAGTAACTACTGATAATTGTAGTATTTGAGCTATAGTAGCTTAGCTCAAGTTTTACTTTTTCAGAAAAATCTAATTTCACAAGATGGTGTGTAATCATAAAATTTCAACAGTTAAAACCACTGTGCTGCTTTGAACGTAAAGTAAACAAAATAATAAATCCCTCTATTTTATTATAGAGTGATGCATTTTTATTGTGCTGTTTATATCTAATGTACAGAGAAACTCTGCATGATTTTGGTATTTAAAGGATTTAAAATGTCAGAAATTTCTGGTGTCACCAGTGAGAGCAGCTCTGTCATGTTTCTATCTTCTACTCCAGGGTAAATAAATTAATTATTCCAACCTAAAAATACCTTGTATGTCAATACACACTTTTATTTTCCCACCAAGATGTGTTAAGGGTTTTAGTTTCATGTGTGGCTGTTGTGAATTATTTATTCAATATGCTGGCTACCTTACCTTATTGTTCGTTCTCATGGGACTAAGTAGGCTAAATAGATGATTATTCAGCCCTCATTAGTATCAGTCTTGTTCCTGTTGCTCACAATATTTCAGGTTGCCAATCTTTTCCATTTCTTGCTTGAGGAACAGAAGCTTTGTTTGTTTGTCACAACCACGTTTGAACAGCACGATGACCCACTATTCAATTTTTTCTTTGTTTGTCACAGCCACATTTGAACAGCATGAAGACCCACTATTCGATTTTTTCTTTGTTTCTCACTTTAAAATTCACAGGTCTTTGCAAAACTTTTCAAGTTATTTTTGTTTCAGCACTTCTGAAGTCTCATGAGCTTCTGGACTAGAATATTAATCCTGTACTTAAAACTCTTTGCCTTCCACTTTTTGACTTATTGATCAGTTTATGGAACCTGTTATAGAAAACTCTTCTTGCTACTTGTGGCTTCAGTCCACCACTGAATGGATTCTATGTTATTGATGTTCCTCAGACATTCAGAAATACAGTCATTTTTATATATCTGTATTATAATTTCTTCAGTAAGATATAAGCTGCTCATGAGTCGAATTCCGCACTCTTTGTGCACTCATCTAGTAGAGATCAGGCTGATCTGGAGAAAGTTTAGTTCTACAGTACTGCCTCATTATAATGACATCAGTTATAATGCTTTCTTGGATATAATGCTGTGGTGGCTTGGCTCCCAAAAATTTAGTAAACAACTTTTGATGCAATTTTAATTATCCAATGAAAATTCCTGATTGTTTTTATCTTATATTATTGTATCTTGTTTTATCTTATCTAGGTTCTTTTTATACGTATTTTCCATATGTAAATAAACAATTATATTATTTAATTGATTGCTTTAGTAGTCTGTTGAATCTGTACTTGTTTGTAATGCTTCCCCTCCTATATTGCTCTTGGGTGCACATGGCTGCTGATGGTAGTGTTACAATGAAGTAGTACTGTATCGTGTCATGTCTGTCATGTCGCTTGGACTGATCTTCATTACTTGAATGCTCTCATTTGATAATGGCTTGCTCTGCAAATTGTCACTTAGTTATTTCAGGGACTTTTAGGAATTTACAGTCTCTCCTGGTAGGTTGAAGTTATTTTTCTCTTCTGTTTTATTTTTTTTTACCTAGGGTAGCTGTGGTTCCATCCTCACTTGCACATCCTGCTATGGATTATCATATTCTTAGTGAGCTTATCAAGACAATCTTATGCTTCTTTCACAGTTTCTCCTACTGCCCTGTGTCATTTTATTTGCCTTATGCTCTATTGTCTTATAAAGATCCAACACTCTACCAGAAATGAATTAAAGTCAAATATGACTCCCTCCTAACTTGGTATTATGAGGTTAGGTTACTGTACATCTCCTTTCTCTTCTCAAAATATTGATTCTTTCCTACTCTTTTACACTCTCCATTTATACATTGTTTTGCCACTGTCACTATGAATCAGTCTCTGGTGATGATGGGCATTTTCTCATGTAGGTTCTTCCTTTCTCTCTCTAGTCATACTCTATCCACTGTTACCATTTGACTGGATGTACTTATCAATGGACTTCTACAACTTTGTCTTGATGTTGTTTAGACATATGTTTAGAATTTTGGTCAGGCTTGCATGTAACATAATTGTGAGTTTCTGCAGCATCTGTATCTCTGTTCTGGGGTCACATGCATCTGACAAGGTAATCCATATTGTTAAGTTCAGCTTTCTTTTCTTCATAAGGTGACTTGATATTAGATTGCTATGTGTATCAGTTGTACAACCTAGGTGATTCTCCAAATTTTGTTTCCTTCAGATGTTTATTATTTGTCTGGCATTTTATGTTCTATACTTTTCCCCTTTTCAATCTTATGATGTAGAAGATGAAACTATATTTGTGGTAAAATGTGTTTCAAAAACAGTTCTTACCTGTTGTATTATGGTCTGTCTGGTAGATTCATCTGTTTTCTAGCATTTTATTGCTATTGTAACCTGAAAGATCATGAGTATAAAGTAAAATATACCTTAATTGGTTGACAAATGAAGTTAGAATAAATTGGCATCATTCCAGTACAAATACTTTATAGAAAATGCTAATACTACTAAGGTGTATATTTATCACATGTGGAAGAATTAGAAATGTTTTCAGCTCTATTAAGAGTCAAAGAATAAGATACAGATCAGTGTTTTTTAGAGATCATTCCGAGGTATTAAGTACTCATTTAAAACATATTTTCTCTAAGAAATAGCGGTTCCTTGTATGCAGGAATAGGAAAGGCTTGTGTACACAATCACTGTATGCACTTGATGTATGTTATAGTAGATTGTTGATGTTGGAATGATTTATTGCAAAATCAAATATATTTGTAACTAATTCTGTAGTGTTAAACTTAGTCATTTTTATAAGCGATAGTTTATCGCAAGCTTATTTACATAACTGTTTGCAAATCATACGTTGTGTAGCTCAATTGTTGTGAATTGGCAGTTGTTATATTATTGCTTCATGTTACCAGGACATCCTAAGTTTTCTTTTTGTTTTAATTGAGTATTATTGTATCATAACATCTCATAGTGTGTAGAATGCTCTAGGCCTCTGTGGGGGTCTAAATATGTGTCAAAAATTTAGTTTGAGAATAAGATAGATAGATCTAATGGTATAACAAATATTTATATGTATGTTTGACTTGTATTAATATATAATTTGTGTGGTGTTTGTTTATTGTTGAAATTTATCAACAAGTCACAGATGCCTATTATAAAGAATCTGGTCATACTAAAAACATGACAATCTCAGTCTTTGGTTATTTGAGTCAAGACTTTGTTCAAGAGAATTTTTCACATGCTAACATTAACATCTTAACATATTTTTGGGCATTACCCATAACAACTGTATTACTCTTTCACATCATTTATTTTTTATTGTAAAGATGATTGAAATAAAACTGAGATTAACTAAGAAGTGGTTAGTCATTTTGGTTGATGGTTTGGCACTATAACCCAATCCTCCCCCCTGTGGCTCAGCAGTAAATTTAAGAGCTTATAATGCTAAAATTCAGAGTTTAATCCCTGAAGTGAGTTCAGTGCAGATCCATTGTGCAGCTTTGCACTTAAAACTAATATAACCAAAAATAATTTAAAGTTTATGTAACTGCAATAAAAAGTACTGTGGAAGTTAAACATGTTCTTATTGCCATACTTTTATCCCAGGATTAAAAACAAATATTACCCTCAACCTTGCTTATAAGAATGTAACAAAACATAAATTTGCTGATTTCGTGTCTCAGTAATGAGGGCAACAGAACAGCGAGGAAGGTTTTTTTAGGATGAAGTATACCATTTAGAAATTAAGCCTATTTAAATAAATTCCATTTTACTTTTTTCTAGCTTGTTGGATTACATATTCATATAATTTTGGTACATGTACACTAGTCAAAAATAATTTTGAACTACCTGTTGAAAAAGCATATTTTATATGGTAAAAAACATAGATTTTTTTCCCCCTTATTTGATTAAGTTTCTCTTGCCTTTTATGAAATCTGATACAGAATTATCTAATGATACTATATTTTGAAAAAATATATTTTTTTTTGTGTATATTTAGCTCTTTCGAAAATGTCATGTTGAATGTAAAAATTGTACTGGATATGGGGCCCACACATCTCTATGCGAGTGTAAGAACTACATCTCAGGAGAACAGTGTAAATCAAGCTGTCCAATTGACCACTATGCTCACAATGCTACTCAAGCATGTGTGAAATGTGCCAAAGAATGTCGAGAATGTGTAGGCCCCAGCACTATGGATTGTAAGGACTGTCGTAACTTCAAAGTTTACCTCAGTGATGATGAAACTAAGGTAAGTGAAATTAAGTTTAAAAACTTTCATGCATATACGAGATATAATTTAACCAATATACAAGTGAATAAAACTTTTACATCAGTAGCATAAAGTTACTCTGGTACATTCTTAACCATTTTCTAGTGAAAGAACTGATGTTCACCTAAACTTGGAAATAATAATTTTATCAAATGTTATTTAATAGGAGAATTTTTTTCACTGTTGTAATAAGTTTGCAAACAGTAAAGAGTTATTTTTCTTTTGTTTTCTAGTTCAACTGCACTGTTCTTTGTCCACCAGAGAAGCCATACAGAGTACTTCAGGAATCTCCATATTGTTCCAGTGTGGATCCATTGGAGTTAGTAGTAGCATTTAGAAGTGTTTAAATGATACTGCAGATAATATATATTTTTCAAAAGGATCTTTTTATGGACAAATTGCAAAAGAAACTAAGAAATAATCTTGGTTTTATGAGAGAAAGTTTGTTTGAGAAATATTATCATCAAATATTATTTTATTTGTGATACCATTCTGATATTGAAATGGCAGGTGTCTATGTGTTCATAAAAATGACAGAAAGATTTATTATTATTCTTAATTAGTTTTTGAACTATTGTATTTTTAGGATTAAATACCCTTTATGTAAGGTACTTAATTATCTGAAAATTTATTTGTATAAATCATTCTATATTATATATATTTCTCTATTTATTGATAACAAAATTCTCACTGGTTTTTTGTTAAAGTGTTCCAAATTATCTGTTACACATCTTATTCTTTACTCTCTCACTGCAATATTTATAGGTCAACAACTCTTCCAGTGCCTGGTTTAGATACACAATAAAATACACGTTTTAATGTTTCATTACTTATCATCATCATGGTACAGAATTCCAAACTCACCTGGCAGTGCTCTAGAGGGGTACATGTATGTATCTATGTTGTTAAAGAATTAAATTAAACTATGTTACATGTTTGGTTACATTAATTTGCTTCTAAAATGTTAAAAACATTTGAATTCTTCTCAGGAACAGTGAAGAAAACAACCAACGACTTATTTTGGGTGTTACTATCGGTCCATCACTGGTGTTCCTTCTTCTTGTTTTGGGTATTGTATACTGGTTGCTGCAGCGTGCTTGGACTGCTAAAAATACAGTAAAGATGGCTGAGGTGAGGAAGAATTGTCAAAAATTATTAGGGAGTAATTTATAGGATTTATTTTATAATTTTTGCAACAGAAAATAATCATGGAAGAACACAATATATTCATATGTTGATCAGAAAGTTGTTCTTATGGTGATAAAAATGTTTTTTAAGTACTTTCTCTATTAAAGTATTTGTAGTGAACTTTGATAAGAAGTATCAGACAGTTTAGGTGCATCAATTTGTAGTTTATATCTTTCAAAGCTGTATTTTACAGGAAAGAATATTAATTTTGATTTTGGAAAATTTCTGATTATTGTAAATTATGTTTTATAATTTTGTATTTTGTTCTCTTCTTAGTTAAAAATGTATATATATATAGTTCCAAAACTGTTCAAGAAATCAAAATTATTTGTTGCTTTGGAATAACAGTTAGTTAATATACAATTAAGGCATATTGTTAAAATCAGCACAAAAAGTTTTGGATTTAGGTTTTGTTTTTGTGATTGAATATTTAAATTTCCTGCTGTTAGGCAAATATAATTTATAGCACAGCAATAAGTTTATTAACTTGGACTCTATTTAACCACTTCTCTTACTAGTAAATTTCACTAGGTCAACTTGAAATAATTTCAATATTCACTCAATGTTGAAAGTTTTAAAAAGTTTTTGAACATAGAAATTTGTCTTTCACCCTAGACAAGGTATCTCTGTTTAATAGGGTGTTATTTTCTCGCTACTTATACATGCTGGCTGAAATTGCAAGATAAACTCCTGAAAAATTTATTAATTTAGCTGCAGCATGTTCACTTTTCAAAAATGAAATCATTCATTGCTTTTAATGTTTTATTTTATTTTTTAAAACTGTTGATAATTAAATAAGGTGAGATTAAAATGTGTGATTATTCAGTAAGTATTTGTTTGGTAATGAGAAAATAACATGATGCAAACATAAATCTTGTGATTTTTGTAGAAATTTACTGAATTGAATAATGATAGTGAGCCTGTGATTCCATCAAACATCAAACCAAATCTTGCTCAACTTCGATTGGTGAAAGAAGCAGAACTCTACCGAGGAGGTATCATGGGGAATGGAGCATTTGGAACTGTGTATAAAGTAGGTAATTTTATTGATTTTTAGAAAAAACCTCACAGAAGGGTATGATGGAAAATAGGACACTTGGACCAGTGTATAAGTGAATGTCCATAGAGATGTTATCATGGGAAATAAGACATTTGAAGTTATGTATAACCAGATTTCTATAAACGAAGTATCATTTGAAGGTATCTGAGAAAACAAGGTTCTTTCAAATCATACTTTTTGCATAAAAAATAGTTGTACAGAGAAGGTATCATGAGAAGGAAGACATAAAATACAACATATAAACAGAGCTCTACAGAGAAGAAGACATCATGAAACGTAAGACACAAAGTACAATGTCTAAACTGAACTCTACAGAGAGAAAATATCATGAGAAGTAACACACTTAGTACAGTGTATAAACACAACTTTACAGAGAAGAGATGAGAAGTAACACACTTAGTACAGTATATAAACATAACTATAGAGAAGATATGAGAAGTAGCACACTTAGTACAGTATATAAACATAACTCTACAGAGAAGATATGAGAAGTAACACACTTAGTACAGTGTATAAACAGAACTCTAAAGGGAAGATATCATGAGAAGTAAGGTAAAAAGTACAGTGTATAAACAGAGTTGTAAAGAGAATATGTCACTAGAAGCAAGTACACTGTCTAAACAAAAATCTGCAGAGGTGATATCATGAGAAGTAACACACTTAGTACAATGTATAAACAGAACTCTATAGAGAAAATATCATGAGAAGTTAGACACGCACTACAGTGTATAAACAAGTCTACAAAGGAGGTATAGTAGGAAACAAGATATTCAGAAGGTGAATACCTATATCTTTTATAAAGCAGATGTACACAGAAAAAGTATCCTGAAAATTGTCACGTTTGGAATCATATGTTGGGAAGTGTTTTTATATATGTATAGATTTCTCTGTTTTTATTTTGTTTTAGTTATTATGTTAATTTTATGCTAGAACAACTGTTAATATTGCACAGTGGTTCTTGTATAATGTTGTTGGAATCTATTAGAAATCAACTATTATGGCTAATAATTTTAATATTTCCTTTTCTCACTAGCTCTTAAGTGATTTTATGTCTCTGTGTTTGACACATTAGACTTCTATATATCTATACTATGCTTCATGTTTTAGTATCCTTAAAAAAACTCACATAAGCTAGCTTTATCAGAATATTTGCATTTAACCATTGGTGTTATAGGAAAGTTTATAGTCTATGGTTTTTGAAAATCTGGCCAAAGTTATTAAGCTGCTGTTAAATGTTGTGCTTTGGAGTAGTTTATTTTAGAATGTTTTGTAATAATACGTAATTGTTTATATCAATAGCTATTTTCCTTATATTTTTATATTAACAATATTAACTAATCCTTTAGGGTGTGTGGATTCCTACAGGAGAAAATGTGAAAATTCCAGTGGCCATTAAAGTGTTGAATGATGATAACTCTGATATGGGACCCTCCAATAACAATGCTTTTTTAGAGGTAAAGTGATAAGTGTTACTGCTGCAGTTTCATTATGAAGGATAACTTCAAGTATTGTATATACTTATAATGTCAAATTTCATTTGGGCTGTAATTTCATCAAGAAAATTTTAAGTTATATATATATATATATAAGTGCAGTTTAATAATTTTGAAGAAATGTTAGAAAATATGGTAGCAAACAAGTCAACAAAGTCATAAAAATACAGAAAACTAATCACAATTTATAAGAATCATTTGTATATGTTTGTGAAGTATTATCATAGATGCAAGCTGTGACACTATAGACGATATGTATTTGAGTCATGGCAAGGATCGAGTGTGGCCCAGTGGTTAGTGTGCTAGACTGTCATTCTGAGGTTTCGTGGTTTGCATCTTGTCAACATGAAACAATATACTGGACTCTGAACTTTGGGACCATGGGTGTGTTATAAGAGTGATTCTCAAATCCCTTTATTCAGTCTGATAAGAGCAGCATAAGACATGGCAATGGTGGTGTTGACCTTTTTGCTAGTCTATCCCTTCAAAATTAATAATGGCTAATGCATATAGTCCTCATGTACCTGTGGATAAAATTCAATAAACAAACAATTCATGGCAAATTTTTAACCATTGAATAGTACATTTATTAAAGTTATTAAATGATGTAGAGCCAAATGACACAACCTGTTGAAGAAGGGAGGCTACAAGAGTTTTCATAGAAGTAGAAAAATTGGCACATCAGAGTGTTAAGAATATCAACAAACTCTGGAACCACACTCTGTCCCAATCTGAGGCATTATCTTTATCCACATAATAAAGATCATGGTTATTAAAAGAGAGCCCTGATATTCAAAAATATATGATGATAAAGTATGAAACGTTTCCTGCTAACAAAGTAATAAACAAGAATTTGAAGTTGACAAAAGCTCAGAACCTTCCAGCCTCAAAATCAGAAACTGTTTTCGGGAGAAAGGTTACCATAGCAACCCCACTTAACCATGTAACCGTCAAGTTTCTTGATACAGTTCAAGTGAATGTTTCTTGTCTGTTTAAATGTGGTTTTGAAAGCTAACATCCATAAGGTAGCAGGTATATGAAAGTTTGTCAATATATATGATCTTAAATTGGCCTTGCCATCTTTTGCAGAACCTTGTTACAATGAAAATGCAGTATTAAACAATAGTAGTAAGCATGGCCATCAGAATGAGCTGGAATGATAATGAAGGAAGTAGTTCAAAGAACATCATAGAACCTAGAACTATCTAGAACTTTACTTTCATAGTGTGATTAACCCTCAGAACAAATACAAACCTGTCTGATTAGAAAACATTTCAAGTGAACAAGTTTTAAATACATTTTTATCCTTATTGTTTATTTTTCATTAAACAAGGATAAAAAGAGTGTAAAAATGTTTTTTGCATAAAGCATCACTTAATTAAATAGATTGTTTATTTTCTTACATTTTATATTTAACAATATACATGTAAGCTTTTTTTTTATACTAATTTTAATAAACTAATTTACATTTTAGGTCAAAGCATGCAAGTATATATTTAAGTTTTATAACCTAACTTGTATCCACAAGTATTTAATATTTGTCAGTAGATTTAAAGGAGGTTTATAGTGAATGTGTATTTTTGTTTTTGGTACCATAGTAAGTATGTATTTAATATTTTTATAATATAACTTATAACCACAAATAGCTAATATTTTCCACTGGAAACATAGAAGTGGGTACTGAGGATGTATTTTGTTTTTTTTACCATACGGCTTATTCATTCTGCTTGTGACACGTTCTGTGTAAGAGTTGCAATCTTGTGTTTTACTTACAGTCTTAAACTTTAGTGTATTACATGTACTTAATGCTGTCAAATTGGCTAATTTTAGAACTGTAAAATGAAATATCTTGCAGTAGAAAAACAAAACCTATACATTGACTAACTGTTTACAGCAGTTTTTATCCCATATAAGCTCTCATCAGATCACTAGACTGGTAATAAGGAATGTCACTGAAAGGAGATACTTGTATCATTTTATCTGGTTAAGTGTATATGGTATAGTTTTTATTTGTATACCAATTTTTATGTTTTTCTATTGTGAAAGAAAGTTTGAGTGTTTGTATAATACTTTTGCTTCTCTAACATTCAAGATTTCTTGTATTAAATTAAGATATTTTACCTTAATGCCACTTGGTAGTGTAAATAAAATTTGAGGCATGCTTTTCACTTATCACTTAAAACTACATAATGTTCCAAACTCTGTACAAGTTATAAAAATAATCAATTTTTGAAGTTTTAAAGTGATCAGAAGTTTGGTATTTGAATAGTTATCCATAAAGCATTTAATGGTGAATGACAGCTTGGATCAAGACAATAACAGCTTACTACTTTTTCAGTGTCTAAAATTTTTATAGGTTCTCTCTATGTGTATAACAATTTTTCTGTTAGGAAGCGAAAATCATGGCTAGTGTGGACCATCCAAACGTATTGAAACTGCTAGCTGTGTGTGTAACTTCACAGGTTATGGTAATTACTCAGCTAATGCCACTAGGTTGTCTGCTTAACTATGTCCAAAACAACAAGAAAAAAATTGGTTCAAAACCTCTTCTCAACTGGTGCACTCAAATAGCTAGGGTGAGTTTAAATGTTTTAAAGTTTTACCAAAAAGTATATCAAATGCAATAAAAAGAAAATATTTAGTCTGTAAGCCATTTTTCCACTAGTGTGTGTTGAATGTAAAACATTTAACTACAAAATAATTACCAAGAAATTATACTAATGAGCTGCTAATAATCTTGAATAATTTGTTTATGAATTGCTCCTTTAAGTTTAAAGCTTTAAGGATCAAATCGCAATCAAAGTAAAGGATTTTGATTAATATGAAGAATTATTGGTTTTCTTCTTAAATAATACTTATACATTCTGAACTGTTCGTTATGATTCCATTGAGCTCAAGTACTTGCTATGGGATGGAGGAGATGACTTCTCCAAGACTGTTAAAGATCCACAAAGTAACTTAATCCTCATGGAGATTTTTTTATAAGTTCTTTATCATCTTATGTTGCTGGAGTTTGGCTATTCATATCATATAAGCAAAACTCTCTTTTTCCCTTTCAAACAGGGTATGGCATATTTAGAGGAAAAAAGAATGGTTCATAGAGATCTTGCCTTAAGAAATGTACTTTGTAAGTATAAGGATCTATTTTATTGATTAATAAATATTGAAATTGACAATCTTAAGCCTACAATGTACAAATTGGGTATGAAAGGTTGATGTAATACTAATAACTATTACTTCATTAATGACTGAATTATTGTTTGGATAGTTGCTTTAAGTTTGTATGATAATATTCTAAAATGTCTCATCTTACTGCTAACATTCAAAAAAAAAGATAAAAATTAATTTTTGTACATAATAAAATTTCTTAAGAAGTTTTGAAATAAAACTAATAAGGCTTACGTTATTTGGTAACTTATCTAATGATATTCATTATGTTTGTACTGAAAAAATTCAACAGTTCTTTAAAATTTTATTGACTTGCAAACTATTGTACTTTAATATTGTACTAAACAAGAGGTAAGATTTACATACAAGAAGTGCTAAGTTTAGAACTGCACTGATGAGGCTCAATTGTACACTTATGTTAACAGCACAGAACCAAGTTATCTTTAAGCCTAATGTACAGATAATTATAGTATGCATGTCAGTATTGGGTTGTTTTATTCATAACTCCCCCTTGATTTTTATAAATGTATTATGTTTACAGTTTTGCATTATAAAAATTGCACAACAATAATCACTTTTTCTCACTGATTCTCACTGAAAGTAAGTGTTCGAAAATAAGTACTGTATGGTATGTTATGCAGTGTTGAAACAATACAAACATTATGTAAATGAATTATATAGTGTTGGAACAACATAAGTAGAACATAGGTAAATCACTTAATTTAAGAACACCATAGATAATGCATAGGCAAGTGACATAGTCTTAGAACAAACACCATGAACACTGTAGCTGTGTATCACATGGTTTTTGATGTAGTCATAAGTAAGAAGTTTAGTCAAATAATATTAGAAGATAGAAAAATTGTGCATATTAGTTCATTACATAATATTTAAAAACATTTTATAATTGAATGAAATGAAGTTGATAGAATATATAGTATTGGAATAATATGAAACCATATCAGTATGTTACATAACTGGAAATGGAAGAACATATTAAGGTGGATTTTTATTGGAAAAAATTATATAGGTGATTTACTTTCATAATAATTTTTGTCAGTTTTTTATAAAGGCTGTGGATTCTTTAAAGTGGGTGTCTGTGACTTGTTAACAATAAACAGACAGCACACCGTCCACATGTCTTAAAATAATATATTCTAAACAAGTCAAATGTATGTACAAAAATTCGTTACACTATTGGTTATCACAGATTTATCCAGAACTTTAAATAATTGCCTCTTTTTTGTCAAAGTTCTCACAGGCTGATTCAGTTAATTTAGAACACCCTCTGACAAGACAAATTATTCTCCTCTACTCTGTTATCACAATATAATTAATGATAAATTTACTTACTTTACCCCATGGGTTACCACAGTTGTGTACAGAGTTTTATGTGATTCCATTGTTTGTCAAAAGGTTGGTTCAGTCTCTTTAAAACCCAAATGACAGGACAAATTTATTTTTTCTACTCTGTTTCTTAAAATACAATCTGGAATTATAACACTTTAAAAGTCACCACTATACATTTTTTATGGCTCAACTTATAAATACAGTCTAGATCTCTCCCAAACTTTGTCATACTTTTACTTTCACTAACTTAACTTCTTTCTGTATCTGCATGTTTTTATAACACGTGAAATATCTAGCCCTCTGGTGACAACAATATTCCAATAAGGAGAAAAACTTCGAAGCTTTGAGTAAAATGACATCAAGAATATTGCAAAAGTCTAGTACAACAATCAAACCGCATACACAATGTGCAACTCGTACAGAGTTACATAAGGAAACTTGTCATAACTATCACTTTTAAAATAATTAACTTTTAACACTTGTTATGAAAACTAAATGATCAATAAATATTAAATAAACTAAATGATAACTCTTAAGCTAAACAGTCTTGTATATCCAACAATTTTGTTAATTTTAAGATATTTTTCTTTAAAATTGTTTACTTATCTGAGTGTATTTTTTTCACTTAGTGTATAATCCTGGCTGTATAAAAATCACAGATTTTGGGCTTGCAAAACTATTGGATACCAATGAAGAAAGTTACAAAGCTGAGGGGGGTAAGGTAAGTTTGAAAATGATGTCCTAATCAAAGGTCACAGTGAAAACTCAAACTAGAGGGGGAGACATTTTAATATTGTTCCCTATAGTCTATAATTTTTTAAAAACACAATAATATCTGTGTGTCTAAGAACTTGACAGATTTTACAGGATGTGATTATATGACTGACAGAATTAACAGGCTACGATTATATGAATTGCAGACACTACATGACAGAAGTTATGGGACATGATTATATGAGTCACAGACACTACATGATAGACTTTACAGGACATGATTATATGAGTCACAGACACTACATGATAAACTTTACAGGACATGATTATATGAGTCACAGAAACTACATGACAGACTTTACAGGACATGATTATATGAGTCACAGACACTACATGATAAACTTAACAGAACATGATTATTTGATTCACATACACTACATGACAGACTTAACAGGACATGATTATTTGATTCACATACACTACATGACAGACTTAACAGGACATGATTATTTGATTCGCATACACTACATGACAGACTTAACAGGACGTGATTATTTAATTCACATACACTACATGACAGACTTAACAGGACATGATTATTTGATTCACATACACTACATGACAGACTTAACAGGACATTATTATTTGATTCACATACACTACATGACAGACTTCACAGGACATGATTATTTGATTCACATACACTACATGACAGACTTAACAGGACATGATTATTTGATTCACAGATACTACATTTAATGTGAGATCACATTATACTCTACTTCCATAGCATAATTATTTTAAAATTCTGCAAGAATAGAAGTTTGGCCAATAGACAATCAATATATCAATTAAAGTATGCACAAAAAACATGTAGCCAGTATAATTGTGGTTCCAGCAGAATTACTATGGAGCATTGTAACTAAATTGTTTGCAAAAGATAAGCATATTTACAAAATAATATCATTATTTTGAAATAATGTAACTGCATTACTAGCAACCAACATATAACAAGTATAAGTATAGTTACAATGGGATAAAAGTATAAAATAATCTCACTGCATTACTGACAAACAGCACATAAACAACATAACATAACATAATGTTCAGGGACAACAAGGGACCTATTGGTCCATCTTGGCTATCCCATCCTCTAAACAAAATTACAACTATCAAATAAATAAATTTAAAAACAAATAATAATAATAATCTTAAAGCCAACCCTTACTTGTATTATAATCTGTGAGCAGTGAACATATGGAAAGAAGAACTTTAGATATGGTGAGGGCAGGGCTCCAGTTATCCTTTAAGATATCTAAACAAATAACTCCTTGACTGTTGATGTTACAATGGTAGATTCTGGTCCTAAAAGTCACCTGTGGCAATAAGAAGAATCCAATCTGGATAGTGGCTTATAACACAACATAATATTTAGGGACAATAAAGGACCTATTGATCCATCTAGGCTGTCCTATCTGCTAAACTAAACTATTAAAAAAAACAACCTCAAAGCCAGCCCTTATCATTCATATATTTATCAAGCCTTCCCTTAAACCCACTCAAATTTACTGCCTCCACCACATTTGAAAGCAATACTATCAAAGAACACTTAACCAATATGTGCATTATTATAGCAGGATAGAATTGTTTTGAAGTAATTTCACTACATTACTGACAACAACACATAGCCAATATATATGTGTGTTTACAGACTTGTTATAATCTATCAACACTGCTGACAAACAATACATAACCAATGTATGTGTGATTAAAAACAGGATAGAATTTTTATGAAATAATCCTACTACATTACTGACAGCAACACAGGATTTTGAAACAAATATTTGGTATATTTATTTGTTAGAGGCAACATAGTATAGTAAACAGTATACATATATAAAAGAGATTAATAATCTAAGGATAGTAAATTTACAAATTTATCATGAAATATGAAAACTTGAAAGTTTCAGCACAAGCATTGTGTTTTTGTGGGTTGAGCTCGCATGTCTTTCTGCTATAAATCAGTTTAAAGAGTTAATGATTTATTATGATAATAAAAATAGTATAAAATGTCACTAATTTTTTTTTTTAAAATTCACTTATAGAATGGTTAGTAATTATTTAATATTCATTTATATTGATGAGAATTTTTTTTTTAATCTATGCATTTCAGATGCCATTGAAATGGTTAGCTTTAGAATGTATACAACATCGCATATTTACGCACAAAAGTGACGTTTGGGCATTTGGTAAGAATATCATTCCTTCTTTGTGTGATTTATCAAATTTTGTTGTTACTAACTTACTCATAATTGTATTACCTTGAAACTATACTGAGTTTTGCTTGCTTTACAACAACATTTAATCTGATTTGCCTTATGGAGTGAATTTCAGGGTATTTTGATGCAGTTGTAACTCATGAGGTTTAATGGTACTTGGTTGTTGTATAGGTGTGACTGTCCTCTCACGAATAACAATAAAAAATACCAAAACTTTAGTTTTCATATTTAAAACCAATGATTTATAATTGAATCTTTAAAACTATATTGGAATTTAGTCTGTTTTTTCCTTCCATAGGAACATGCCAACTTTAAGAAAATGTCTGTTTGATTATAAGAAATAAAATTCTACAGATCTTTGATAACTATTACTATTTTTTCCAAATCTAACTGATGAGATGCATGGTATATCGGGTTCATATTTCAGAATTCAAAGTCTATAGAATTTGTTTGTTTTTCTTTGTAAAAATGATACTCATTCTTCCAATTATGAAAAAATATATAATAGAAATATTACTTGTACATTATGGTTATAATTTCATATTTGTAATTCTTTATCATTCATTTCAGAAGGATTATCATTTCTAAAATGTAGTGGTAAAAGTTACATATTTTTAAACAGTTAATTAATATGAATTTTTTGTTCTCAGGAGTGACTGTATGGGAGCTCCTTACTTATGGAGATAAACCATATGAGCATCTGAAAGCTCGAGAAGTGCCAGACTTACTTGAGAAAGGAGAGCGTCTACCTCAACCATCCATCTGTACACTTGATGTTTATATGATCATGATAAAGTGTGAGTGTTTTTTTATATGGAGTCAGTATATGTAATTATCATAAATTGTGCTGTACGTACAGTTCATGTTCAGTACTTCTTTATAGCTTCCTTTGAGCAGAAGTTAATATCAGTTACATGTGTGTGTGTGTGATGGATAGCACTAGAGAATGGGTTATTTGTTCAGACTTTTATGTGGTAAATATCAAGATCATTAATTAACAAAACTTTTAGTGTGATACTTGCCTTTTTAGTGTAATTTATAATATCAAGAGTCGGTGGCAGGGGTGGATTGGGCCGCCGGGCAAAATCCTGGTTGACCGGCGATGCCTGGGCCAGTGAGATGATAACCTGGTTATACTGTCCCAGTGCTACTGACTAACCTACTGTACATCTCTCTTTATATATATATATCATCCTGATTTTTGAGTATTTGTCCAGGCCGTTTTAGGCTTCCAATCTGCCCTTGGTAGATGGATAATGAACCGGTCATTAGACAGCTTAAGTGATTAACCACAAAACTTTTTAGCAAGGGGTCTTGGTTTTAGGTCCTAAACTATGATCACCCGTTTTAGAAAGAAGTTCTATATTTTCTTTTTACAATAAGTTTTTATGCTTTAATTACAATGTATTCCTTAAAAAGCTTCTGCTAAAACATCGAAATAAACACTAAAAAAAAAACTTTTATGTTGTAGTGGAGTTATTTAAATGAATAGAAAATAGAGCCTGTCTTGTCTATCAAATCAGGCTGGATGTTAGATGCAGAATCTAGGCCTTCTTTTAAAGAGTTGGCTGATGAATTTGCCAAGATGGCTCGTGACCCTGGACGTTACCTAGTAGTGCAAGGAGATAAACTAATGCGACTTCCTAGCTACTCCCCTCAGGATGAAAAGGAACTTATTCACAACTTCAGTACAATCAAAGAAGGTCCTGAAGTAATTATGGATGCTGAAGAGTATCTGCAGCCAAAAACTGACTTGTCTAATAGTTCTGAGTGCTCACCACCTTTAACCCCAGTCAAAGTAAGAAACTATCCATTTTTTATGTTGTTTCTTGTATAATTTTAAAAAGAATAGGTTGAGTAAAGTATTACAATAGAACTGTAAAATTATAATAAGTTTAAGTTCAGGAGTTAAGTTTTTCCTTCTCAGTAATTTCTTAAATAAACTCTTCAATAAGTTATTTATCACAAGTATCACAAGCTTAGTATTAATTAGAATACATTTGTATGATCAGTGTATTCTACATAACGTAAAACATTCTACTATGTCTAGGTAGAAGTATACTGTGATGTTGATAGTCCTGTGTGTATGTTTGCAATATTTAACCTAACAATAAGGAAATAGGCATCCACTTCATAAAAAATACCATCTTATGAAATAAACAAATCTGAGGTAAAGATAATCATTTGTATTTAGTGGATTTGCTCTTTGCAACATTTAAAGCAGAAATAAGTGGTACATTATATATCAAAGTTCTGAAATGTGGGCTCATGGGATTTCACCTACTCCTAGTAAAGAACTTGGATGAGTGTCTCCCTAGAAATTGGCTGATGGTATGCTTTTGCAGGTTATGATAAAGGGTGGACCACACATACTCAATAGGGCTCATATTTAGTGGTTGTCCTGGCCATGGGAGAGTGATAATGTCCTGAACATTGAGTCATTGTTTTTTGACTAGGGCTAAATGAACAGAAGCTCCATCTTTAACGAAAACAGTTTTTTTATACACTGTGGTCATTTGTGTAGACAGTTAGAAGGTCTTTGTCAAGATTATGATGTATCAAGCAGCATTTACTGTCTCTTTGCATACCACCAGCTGAATCATCCAGTTACCTAAATAAAACCCCACAGCATAACAGAAATTCCACTGTATTTATCATGGCTTGCAGATGGTTTAACAAAAGTTCCTGGACAAATAATCTACTATCTAAGAATGTAAGAATCTGGACTTGTCAGAAAAAATTTTGGTGTCCCAAAAGGCAGGAGATTGTGATAGCATCTGTGATGTCCACTGTTTTGTATATGATATTACCTGGAGTGTGGAGTGGCTTCCATCTAGCTGCTCTGCCTTTGTAGCCCATACTATGAAGATATCTTCTGAAGGTATTGAGGCACATTTATCACTTGTCTTGCAATTGTAGTGGCCATTTAATATAGGTCATTCTTCAAACAGTGCAAGGAGTCCATTATTTTGGTTTTGGGTATCTTGGTCATGCAGAAATTGTTGTTTTATGAATACATTGTCATGTTATTCACTGTGGTATTACAGTTGATTTCTCACTAACTTTAACTTGTCTTCCATTGTCCAACTATGTGACATCATGAAAATAGTTATTTTTTTGAGATTTTTCTCATTTATGGCATGTGTTTTTGTACTCTCTGGTTTTACCAAACTATAACTTTGTTTATACAGGGTTATTTATATGACATTCTGGTGATGGTTGATTTGTATACTTATTGGTGAATAGTGTTTATTTAATTTTTAAATGGTTACATTTTGTCAGGACTGTATGCAGCTGAACTCACTTAGAAATGTACACATTACAATAACTAGAATCTTGGGGATTTTAGTAGTACTGGTCAGTGTTTTATCAGTTAAGAATTCAGAATAAAATACTCCTTGTCATATATCTTCATTAGGCTGATTTTGATTGTATTACTTTTTGTTTTGAAAATTCTGCTCCAAGTGATTTGTTGACTCTATTCCAAGTATCATATTCTTACTTGTTCTAGTATATATAGTGTATATAATTTACAATATACTTAACATTCTAAAGTATAAACAGTGTTTCAAATTCTTTAATGAGTTTATTTCCATTGTTTACTGAGAATGTTTCTTATTTACTTCCACATCATTCTAATTGGAACTTCCTTGATTTGCAATTATATGGAGTCATTTGAAAATTGAATATTGTATCATTTCATTTAACATCTACTTTAAAGTGAATTTTCTGAAACTTAGTTAAGGTGTTTAATGTTTAGATACATATATAAAGTACAAGTTTTTGGAATATTCAACAATTTGGATAGTTTAGAGAAAACGAGAATTGCAAATGGTACTAGTGTGATAAAATATCTATTCCAAACTACTAGGGATGGGTTAAATTCCCCACAGTATCTCAAGTTGTTCCTTAGTTTAGTTATCATCTAAAACTTTAGTTGAAAATTTTCTTTTGCACAGAAATTTATGGTTGATCGTGGATTTGAAAGCCAACCATGTTCACCAACAAATCCTGTTCACTTTGATTTCAACACACAGTTGCCCTCATCTTCTAGATGTCGTGGTCACCAAAGTGCAGCATCAGGACGTTACTCAATGGATCCCCTTCGAGATGTGGTTCGAGGTATGAAGTATTTCATTTGGATTGTGCATATCAAAATATATTATATTTTTTTGAAATTTTTTTTCTAAAAGTGGCATCACTTAACCTTTGTTCAACTAAAAAAATATTGCAGCTGTTTTCAAATAGTGTTATAATTATTACATACTTTTAAGAAAATTTTATGGACTGTATGGTATTGCTTAAAAGGGTCATTTCATTTTTTGTGAACAATTTAAACTATTGCTTTTAACTTTGAAACCTCTTGTTTTTAAGTTTTAAAATCAACTTATTTCATGATAGTTTGTGAATTATTTCATTATAATTTTTCTATAAAGTTTCTCCCTAAAAGTTTATTAAACAATATTCTTTTTTTATTTGTTTCTATATTATGAACTTAACTTAATAACCAAGAATATGTGAGAATTCCTTGTTGGAGATGTATTCTGGGAAATTATTAAAATCAGTTCAATATTGCCCTTTTTTTTCTGCAACCTCTCTGAAGTCCAAGTATATATCAAAGATTTTTTTATTACCATTGTAAGTAATGCTGTATTTTGAAGTATGATATTCCACATAAAGATCATGTTTACAGAATATAAATTTTGAAAGTTACTGTCTTAATTTCCTATTTTTTAATTTTTTAATTGAAATTCTATGGTTTCATAGTATTTTTGGTGTAATATGAATGTTATAATTTTGAAATTTAAATGTGCTTTTAAAACAGGTAATGAATAATGTCATTTGCTTTTAAATTGAAGAAAAACCTGTTTTGTAGATACTCATTGTGATGAAGTTGACAGAGCTCATCTCAGAAGCACAACATTACCTAGTGATTTAAAGAAGAAAAGAGCAAATTATTTGAAGTTAGCTGTTGATGATGAAGATTACCTCATTCCTTCACTTTCAACCAACCAGTCAGCCAATTACATGGATTTGATTGAAGACACTAACTGTGCAGGTAACACAATCTCCCTGTGAGGATACTTCATCAACAAACACTTTAATTTTTTCTCTTCCTTCAAAACTAATGTTACTGTTCCTGATGGTATAGAATAATATTTATTATTCATATTGTTGTTAACAGCACTTATATAAGAAGTTTATTCTAAGATCTTTAGTTCCCTATTGGCTTAGCAGTAAACTTGAGAGAAACTAAAATTAAGGGATTGTGCAGCTATGCATTAAAAGTTATTAGATAATTATCTTGGTACAAGATTAATTAATGTCGCTAAACTAGGGTAATTTCCAGGATTTTTTTATCTAGGGGCATAAGTGTGTGTGTGTGTGGGGGGGCTCTCCAATGGGGGATTTGCCACCTCCACACAGCTCTAGTGAGCATGCTCCTGTGTGAAACACTACCCATTCTAGGATTTTTTTCTCAAGCATAAATTATTTTACACTAAGGTACACAACTTAGTTCTATTCAAAACACAAATTTCTTCACTTTGTCTTCTTCACTTGTACATTCTTATAACCTATGGTGATTTTTGATTTTCCAATATAAAATCAAGTACAATGTCAGGTCTCTTGTTCTTACAATGTTCATGATGTCTTCACTTATGACAGTAATTTCCTTTTTTTGACCATTTTGGTAAAGCTAAACTGTATTTTTTTAATACTTTTCTGTTTTTTTTACATTGTAATTGTTTAGTATTTAGAAATATGGATATTTTAGTCCTTTATAATGAACAAAATATAAATAAAAGATATATACATTTAGCACTCAAATTTCAATACCTTTAATATTAAGTTCAAATAGATTTTGCATATTATTTCTGAACAATAATCTGTAATGAAAGATATGATATTCCTTGTTATAGTGACATTGTATTTCTGATCACCTGAAGTTGATACAGGTGGTGTTTTCTCTGTAGATTGTTAAAAATTTACAAATATGTCAGAGAAAGGAATAACATATCTCTGGATAATTTAATGCTTATTATGTTAGTTAAAATAAAGTGGCCTGTTTAGAATAACCATAGGCTATTGTTTTCCCTTAGAGTAATACAGCTATGAATGAGCAAGATTATAAGTTACAGTACATATTAAGAGTTTATATAGCCTAAATATAGGTGCAGTTAAGCTGTAGTTTCTTGTGTTTTTAAATATGTTAATATATTAATATACATAGTCTTATAGAAGTCAGCTTTACATGAAGCACCAAGTTTCACATATGTAAAATAGTGTCTTGAACAAACTGCTTAGTTTTATAAAACTAAGCTTTATGTAGTTAAATAATGTATTTAGTTAAATAATGCATTACTTCCTTTAAAATGACTTTTTAGTTTTCTAGATATTTATTATTAGACAATTATATTCAATTTATTAAAATGCTAATTTTTTTACAGCAGTATTCTGAATTATCATTCCTGGTAATCCTCATGCTACTCAGATAAATTAGAGGTTGTGTTAGTGTTCTAAAATGAGTACTGTGAACGCATGCATAATCATACATTACATACATGATAACAATCATAAGTGTACAGTGATTAAATTTTACAGAAAAAGATATGCAAAAAAAGTGCTAACACACCTTATTCGTTTCCATTGTATTGGAAGATTATTTAAACTTTTAAAAGTCCTTCGCGTCTGTGTAGACAACTGTGGTCTGGTCACAGTTGGAGTTTAGTTGACTAGCCTTCCAATTTAATTGTCATCAGATGAAGTGAGACCATTTATTTGGTTTTTAGGCAGTTTTGGACAAGAAAACCATGATCACAAGGAACACTCCTAGCTGGCACAAATGCAATGAAATGAGTTCTAAAACATATTTCAGAGCAGGAACTGTCAAAGTTTGGTTGACTATGATGCCAAAGCATGAATATGATGTGCCAAAAGTCTCACTGCATTGCTGTTTTTTTCTCTATGGGTGTCACTGATGTTGTCATAAAATAAATGTACTACATCTAAAGCTTCTATTCTGTACTCACTGAAAGTTGTGTCATTTCTGAGAAACTTTTTAACATTCAAAAAGGACCTAAAAAAAACTTACATGGTACACATTGTATGCTTATTTCTGTGTACAGGTGGAGTTTATTCATAGTACTTGCCAGGGGTGAAATTCTCAAAAAAAGTAGAGGTACTCAGGTGAATGAAGTAAACCTATTTTGGAAAAAAACAAAAAACAACATGAAAACATAAAAAATGATAAAGCAGCTCAAATAAGTCCCAGTACTAGTACCACCTTAAAAAATAAGTTCTGGTACTCATTACCAGTGAGTACCAGCAGAATTTCACCCCTGGTACTTGCATTATCATGACCTTTAGTAAATGACTAAAAATTAAATAAACTATGAGAAACAAATACTTTAAGTCAGCCATAGAATTAAAAACCAATTTCAATTGATGGATGAAAGATATGGCACATGCTTAAGAATAGAACTTCCTCATTTAATTAGGTGAAGTTTAAGGAAAGAAAATAATAATAATTCAGCCCAAGTCCAAGCCAACAAGAAAATTTATGGTGATAATGATAGAAGTAGGAACTGAATATACAACTAGAAACAGAAGCATTGCAGTGGAGCTTTGTAGTTTTTTTAAAGCTAAAATGAATCCATTCTCCTTGTATTTACTAGTATAAGCTGAAAAATGAAAGTAAAAAAAATCTTTATGGAAGATTATTCTATCTAATGCTTTTAATTAATAAACAATAGGAACCTCACATACCCTCAACCCTACATTAATTTTAATTTTGTTTTGTCTGATTTTAGATTTTCAGCATAAGAAACCTCCTACATACTCCTCTTGTGTAGAGACACAGAAAAATGGTCTTGATAACTTTGAATATCTTCTTATGAATGACAGTTACAATAAATCAGAGACAGTCCCACTCAGATTTTCAGAAGAGGAGGAGGATGAAGATAAAGTATTTATTAGTGAAGCTGATCAGCGAAAGCAGGAACTTTTGCCCTTAAACCACAGATCTAATGATACGGCTGTGTGAACTTTCTTAAAAGTATTTTTCATGAACAGTGGATTTTTATCAATAATGGCCATGGGTAAAAACAAGTTATTTATGTGTCATTACCTGTTAGGAACTAGAAACCATCACTCTGAAGACATTATTAACATTTGTATATAAGCATTGTTAAAAAAAAACACTTGAAACCTAGCATCATAAATATGTATAATTTTTATTTTCTTATACTCTTTCTTTATAGCACAGGGAACAAATAACAATTTATTAAAATAGTTTTATCTTTTCACTTCCATGAGTTCATGTAGTGCAGGTCACGTTTTTTGGGGCCATTAGTTAAAGTCCTCATTAAAAGAACTTGTGCTTTAGGTACAAGATTAAGTAACTAGTGAATGATCATGTCTCTGTATTCAGGGAATTTTTAACCAATGTTTAGAACACATAATTGTGTGACACATTAATCAGCTGTTACATTTGTTTCTTAATTCAGGTGCTAATGAGGCTTCTGTATATTCTAAGTGTTTTTCTTGTCAGAATTAGCTTTATTTGAAAGGGGCATTTGTAAAATTAATGTTTTCAAATTCCAAAGTATGAAACTTTGCAAATAATTGTTAGATTGGATTTTAGTGTCTTATATTTTCCGTATAATGAAAATAAACTATTAACAAAGATGTAAGAATTTTCTTTGGGTTAACTTTCCTTACATTGATGTTACATAACAATTGTTTGCCATACATTCTTTAAAATGAAAATGAGATCTTTATTCAAAACTGTTTTCATTGTAAGCATTAACAGAAATTTGTCTTGTTTTAAACTTAACACATTTTCTTTTATTCAGACAGAAAATATTTCAAAATCTTGTAAAACCAGAAAATTAGTTTTTATAGCTGTGTGTGTGTGTGTCTGTGATAGTCTTTTTGATCTCCATGAGTTCAGTGGATAACAGAAAATTTTAATGTACATTTTGGTAAGTTCTAGGTTAAGATTAACTGTTTTAAATCTAGCTTTTTTTCATTACAAGTTTTGCTACTATGGTTATGTATTAACTTTTCCTCTTAAGGCTTTGTTGCATATAAAATTATTGTGAGAAAATTTAAAACCCAATCCTTTCTCATGACTTATTGATACATCATGAAGATGATTTTAGTTTGTTTAATTGAACTGATCTCGTTATATTGTATTTACTAGGTAACATTTTCAGTTTTAATCTTTTGTTGTTTTTGATATAATATATAATGGTTACAGAAGAGTTTTAAAAGTAAATTGAATTAATCTCCATGTATATAGATACACAATGGATTACAGTTGTAATTTATACCAATATTTTTATAGAAGTATACATCATAGAACCTTACATGTTCCTTGTTAATTGTTTTCAATTAAAAGCACTTTTTAAAGATTTAAATCAGTTTGTCAGGCTAGAAGTGTTTGTTTTGTTGCATTAGCAGTTGTATCATTGTGAAATTTATTTTGAAGCTTTGGTTGTAAGATGCACAAAATGAAACTGTATTCAGATCAACCTTCAATATCTTATACTTCATTAAGAATTATGAAATGCAAAAAAATCGTTCAGTATTCTTCATCTAGACATGAAGAGTAGTTATTCGTGTTAATCTTTACACCTTTAATAATATATTGAACAATGGAAATGACTGAAAAGTCCTATTGGCCTGAATACCTGTAATTGGAATGTGGTAATACGTCAGTATTCCATACAATTGCCAGTCAAATTCTTATAAAACCAGTATGATGAAATACAGTCTTTACTAATAACGAAACGCCCTTAAATAATTAGTACGTCAATTCTGTATTAGAACACGTTTTTATTTTATAACTTGGAAACTATGAATGCAGCTGAACAGTTCTAATATACTTCCCAAATTTTCCAATGTACTAATTATGCCGAGTTTTTTTTTTGTTGTTATCCCTAGTTTAATAATCATATTCTGTCAAGTAAATTTCTATTATTTTAACTAATATTCTAACTATGTGAAAACCATGACCCTATTTGGGGCCAACATTAGTCACTGAGCTGCCTTTATTTTATTTTCAGTTTAACTCTGGAAATATTTGCTTTTACAGGATTAGACTCTCAACGTGATAATAAGCCAACCTAGACTGGAATTTTTACAAAGTTTGTGAACGCTACTAACGTAATCACCTAGTGTTCTTGATCTGTATGCAGGGATATTTGTTAAATCAGTATGTGCAACAGCTACTCTGTGTGTACAGTTAAAGGCACGTAAAAGTGACTTAACGTTAGGGTGCCTACCATCAGTAAATATACGGCCAGTCAGTAAAGAAAAACACTTATATTTATTAAAACCCGTATATTACAAAAAAAGAATGAAGGTTTTAAGGATGTAAGTAAAAGAAATAATAATCACTGTCTGTATGTCAGTAAAAACAAAATTATAAGGTTGACAACCACGCTTGTGGTATATATACACACACACTGTCTACATAAAAAAACTCATTGTATATAAACTGTTACATTATTTCATGATGAAGCTAAAAGCGCATAAACTAGCTGGTGACACCCGGTGGGACAGCGGTAAGTTTCCGTACTTACAATGCTAAAATCCAGTGTTCGATTGCTCGCAGTGGGCAGAGCGCAGATAGCCTATTGTGTAGTCTTGCGCTAATAGATATATATATAAAACTATACCGTGCCTACTTGTGATATTCTTTGCTACTTTTGTTTCAGTTTTTAGGATACCGGTATGTTTTCTTACATGTTATCCATTTGTGATCAAATATTCGTATATTGAATATAGGGGATTTTAAAGCATATTTAATATTAGCGTAAAAATCACGCATAGTATCTTTATACATTTACAGATTAATCGGTAAGTGAAATGTTGAAGAACGAAAACAGTAAGATGCCGAAGAAGAGTGTCACACTTGTGTTCGGTGAGAAAAGAAAATAATCTCTCCTGCTTGTAATTGTAACATAGAAAAAAAAAGAACTATTTTAACTGAATGCTTCACCCTATAACTTATAAGATCAGTTTTGTGTAGAATATATTTTACAATGGGTACATATGACGGGATTTTCCCATTGAAATGACGAGGTATATCTAGCAAACATAGCTAGACTTAGTATTTGAAGTAGTTTTAATAGAAACCCCATAAAACACACGTTACTGTTTCTGTAAGTTGAAGCATTCGTTTAAAGAAGCTTGAAAGTTAATCTTGTGTTATGAGGGATGAGTTATTTTCCCGCAAAACAAGTATGAGACTCTTGTTTGAAATCTCAGTGTTTTCCTGCTCAGTGGGAGAGTAGATAACCAATGTGGATGTAGACATTGGGCGTGATTCTTGACGCTTTAATTAAATGTGAACTGTTGTTGTGTCAGTCGCTTTTCTCGTAATATGTACGTTAATTATAAATGTAAATTTAAACTAGCTAGGCCTACAAATGCATTAAAGTTGGCACTTCTTAACGTTGCTGTATAAATAAAGGAATAACAGTGCTACTAGCTGATATATGTTTTAATTGTTGTTTAAGAAACAGATGTACAGTTTTTATAGTCATGGTAATAAACGATTTATAAATAATGACTTCTGTGTGCTCAATCCCCCCCCCCTCTCTCTATATAGAGAGAGAGAGAAACATTCGAATTTAAAAACACGAAAACATCTTATTACGTGATACTAGTATTTAGTAACCTCTTTTTTCTATTGCTTGCAATTTTTCATCCTAAACACATTTTATGCATCACGTGGGGTAAATGGCCATGTCGGAAACCATAAGGTTAAGGTATATCCAAGAGGTGCTTGATAATAAGGAGAACAAACACTTAGCATCATCCGCCACCTGCACGTCTATTACTTACCTTTTTATAATGCTACACAATTAAAAGTGCGGAGCGTATTCAGGGACATATCACGGCCTCGAACCTTCGAGTCGCAGCCAGTGGTATAAGTATGCCCCCCGCAATTCCAGGGGAGGGGGGACCCAAAGGGCCTGACAAACTTAAGAATTGCCGACAAGGGGAATAAATTTTGGGGCCTATCTTTTGTAGTTACGCCCCTGGTCGCAGCCCAGCAAACATATCACTAGGCCACATCGGGCTCGTTTTCTTTGATGTGATTACTACAAATAAGCAAGCTATGGACTATGATATAAAATGGTAATAAACTTGAACTGCTATTTCCTCTAATTAAAGTCCCCTGATGGGACAGCAATAAGTCTACAGATTTACAACATTAAAATATGGGGTTCGATTCCCCGCGATGGACACAGCAGATAACCCAAAGTTACTTTGCTCTAGAACAATCTCTCCCATCAAAAGTCTTCATATGTACTGAACGGTCATTCTGAGAACAAAACTTATTAAGAACAAAAATGTTTCTTTTTTTGTGAGAGAATTTCACGTAAAAAAAATGACATATTATGATTTGTTAGCACCTCTAGATATTTGTGACATGCTCCGAT